GAGAAATAGGAGGTTATTGGAACCAGAGGGGCTTGACCTAAGATTTGGGTGACATGGGTATTTATGGTATGATAATGTAGATTTGAACATCATTTTATTAGGTGTGCCATATTGAGAATATGGAACAGATATAAATTTAGGTTGTCTCTGAAGGTTCCTTTATGGTTGTCACCACAAAAAGCTTTTTATAGAAGAGAAATGGTAACTGAACATAAATGGTTAACTTATGGTGATGTATTGGAATTTTCTCAAAGACTTTAAATTAAAGACAAGAGATGAATTGATATCAGAAGGATACATGGGTCAATGGTTTTCCTATGTACAATTACAAGAAAGATTTAAAATAGATAAAAGGACTTACGGTTTTGAATATGGTAAGAACTGAATCTGAAACAGAATTATGTACTAATGATGAACATGTTATTGCAAAGACGTACAAACTTTTATTCAAACTAGAGACAGAAGATGAACAAGTTGGCTGTATGATAATATTCAGGTAGAACAATGGGAAAATATGTGGCGGAAAGGAATGAAATTCATATTGTGTTATAACCTTAAAGAGAACTTTTATGAAGTGATGTATCATTGGTACTTGTCACCAGAGAAATTATCTAAAATGTGCAAAGGTACTTTGAATGTATGTTGGAAATGTGAACAACAAGAAGGGACATTTATCATCTCTGGTGGACTTGTAAAAAAGGGGAAAAATTGAATTACATATTTTCATACAGAAGATTTTAAAGATTAATATTCAATCAAAACCAGAGACTTTCCTTTTGGGCTTGATGGATAAACAGTTGGAAAGAACCTATGAAACTTTGTTCTTAATTAATATTCAATCAAAACCAGAGACTTTCCTTTTGGGCTTGATGGATAAACAGTTGGAAAGAACCTATGAAACTTTGTTCTTATATATGATAACAGCAGCAAGTCTTTTATATGTAGAGAGGTAGAAAGATAAGATATTATCTACAATGGAAGAATGGATGGTGAAGCTGATGGAGTCAGCTGAAATGGCAAAATTGATGGCTTTGATTCGAGATAAGACATTGTGTAATTTTAATGCTA